TCCAGCCTGGGCGACAGAGCGAGACTCCGTCTCAAAAAAAAAAAAAAAAAAAAGACTAACACTTCACTAAGAACCACCAGAACTAATAAACAAATTTGTTAAACTTGTAGAATTTAAAATCAACATTAAATAGTATCGTCTTTGCACATTAAAAATTACCTCAAAATGAAATTAAAAAACAATCCCATCTACAATAACTGTAGTAACTATACTTTGAAATAAATTTAATCAAAATGTTAAAACACCATACATTATAACCTAAAGAACATACAAGTAAAAATTAAATAATAAATAAATGGAAAAGTAGTACTTATTCATGAATTGGCCTTATTAATACTGCTAAATATCTGTATTACACAAAATGATCTATAGATAAAATGCAAACTCTATCAAAATACCAATTACACACTTAATAGAAATTTTTTAAAAAATCTAAAATTTGGCAGGGCATGGTGGCTCAAGCCTATAATTCCAGCACTTTGGGAGACTGAGGTGGGTGGATCACCTGAGGTTGGGAGTTCGAGACCAGCCTGACCAACATAGAGAAACCCCGTCTCTAGTAAAAATACAAAATTAGCCAGGCATGGTGGCGCATGCCTGTAATCCCGGCTACTCAGGAGGCTGAGGCAGGAGAATTGCTTGAATCAGGTAGGCAGAGGTTGTGGTGAGCCAAGATCATGACATTGCACTCTAGCCTGGGCAACAAGAGTTAAACTCTGTCTCAATCAATCAATCAATCAATCAATCTAAAATTTATATGGTACCACAAAAGACCCTGAATAACTAAAGCAACCAAGCAGAAAATAAAAAAAATAAAAATAGGCTGAAGGTATCACTATACCTGACTTTGAAATATCCTACTAATTATAATAACCAAAACAGTATGGTACTTGAATAAAAACAGACACATAGGTCAATGGAGCAGAAAAGAGATCAGAAATATATCCACATATTTAAGCTAACTTATTTTACAATTTCTTCAAAAAAAGGACAGCATCTTCAACAAATGAGGTTGAGAAAACTTTATATCCACATGCAGAGAAACAAAATGAGACCCTCTTCTCACACCAAATATAAAAATCAACTAAAATTAGATATTTAAATATAAGGCTTAAAACTCAGAAATTACTAAAGAAAATAAAGAGTGAAAGCCCATAACATTGATTTAGGCCATGACTTTTATTATTTAACCTCAAAATCCAACAAAATCAAAAGAAAAATAGATAAGTTAGATTACTTGAAATTAAAAAGCTGCTTCATGGAATCTGACAAAATCAACAAAATGAGACAACTGAAAAAATGGGAGAAAATACTTGCAAATCATACGTAGGACAAGCGGTTAATAACAAAAACATATAAAACACTTAAATGACTATACGACAAAAGACAAATAACTATCAAAATGAGCAAAAGGCTTAAATAAATATTTTTCAAGAAAAGACAAATGGTCAAGATATATAAAAAATGCTCAATATCAACTATTATCAGGAAAGCAAAAAGAAAAACTAGGAGATTATCAACTCACTCCTGTTAGAATTACTCTTATTAAAAAGAAAAGAAAGGGTTAGTCAAAGTATGAAGAAAAGGGAATGCTTGCACACTGTTGGTTTGAATGTGAATGAGGAGAGTCATTATGAAAAATGAAAATTTGTCTAAGAATTTAAAATTAAACCACAATATAATACAGCAATTTTACTGATATATATCTGAAACAAGTGAAATCAGAATGAAGAAACATATTTGCTTCTACGTTGTTTGCAACACTCTTCACAATTACCAAAATACAGAACCACAGTTCAACATTTATGAGTAAATAAAGACAATGTGGTATATATACACAATGGAATACTATTTCTTTAAAAAAGAAATTTCTATTATTTTCAATCACATGAATTAACCTGGAAGACATTATATTTGTCTAAATGAGCCAGGCACAAAGATTATTTTTCATGATTTTACTTACACAGGGAGTCTTAAAAGCTTAATCCCATTAAAGTAGAGAGTAAAGTGGTGACCACCAGACATCAAGGTATTTAGAAAAAAGGGGGGTTTTGAAAGATGTTGGTCAAAGAATACATAATTATAGTTGAATAGGAAGAATAAGTTTAAGAGATCTTTTTGTACAAGATAGTGACTACAGATCATAACAATGTAGTTGTGTTTTTGAAAAACGCTGACAATGTCACATACTCTGACCATAAAAATGTTAGTGATGTTAGGTAAAGCCTTAATTACCTAGAATGAAGCATTTGACAACATATACTTGCAAATATCACGTTGTGCAGAATAAGTACACATTTATTTATTACAGATGGTAATAGCATGAAAGACACTAAAAGGGCAGGTGTTGCTTATGGTCTCATGACTGGCCACCTTGTGAACACAAAAAACAAATTTGCATAAATATAACAGAAAATGTTTAATCCAAAAGCTGCCATAATCTTCAAAAGTTTTCTAGAGAAAATGACCAAGAAGCTGACTATAGTTAGGTGACAAAGAACAAAAACTGTACACTCACCTTCACCCACTAAAAAAAAATGAGTGAAAAATTCCTCAAAATTGTAATATCAATATAAAAAAGAAATATTATTCCAAATATCAAATCCACAGAGGTCATTTTATTATTTTGCAACCTTTAAATTTCACATTTAAAAATAAAAGATTCTGCATGGAAATGTATGTTGTGCTATATCATAGAAAATTAAATTTTAAATTCTTCACTTACCATTAGCTCTCTTATAAATTAATTTCTAAGATGTATTTTCTAGCAAATTTTATATTTGTCACAACATATTTGCACTACAGCCTGGGCAACAAGAGTGAAACCCTGTTTAAAAATTTAGTAAGTTTTTCCTTTTACAAACAGAAAAGAAAAAAACAATGCTAACTGATTTAATCCTCTCACCTGTGGACAGTGAATGCCTTTTATCTTAATTAACTGATCAGAAAGTTATATTGATAAGCACTCTCCAGTGAAAAGCGATTTTTGAGTGCATTAAAAATATCAACTTTCTCATCAAAACCTACAAAGTACCATATAAAATGACATGGCATGAAGACAACAGTGAGAAAAGTGGAGCCATCATATAGAAAAAGAAGAAGGGCTGTGATGAATACACAGAAGTCACATAATAAGACAAACGAAAGTAAAGGTAATTAGGAAATAAAAGAACCAAAATTTCTTTTTAAATTCAGCAAGATTTAGCTTTGCAACATGGAAAAAAAGGTTATCTGCACATGAAGAATCAATATTATTTCTTCACTATTGGTATTTTCCATCTCTGACTTGAAGTTACAAACTAACTCCAGCAGGAATGTTTACAGCCTATTATGGAGCATCTGTTACACAGCAACCACTGTCATATTTGTTTGCCACATTTATATATAAAAACATCCTCATAACTTATGAAGTATTCCTAGTTCTTACCTGAACAAATTGGCTCAATAAATAAATAAACTTACGTCAATTATAACAAAAGAATAAGAAATATAGGCTTATATAGGATTCTCCATTTAAAAGAACAAATGGAATGTTCTAACTAAATACAATATAATTAATAAACAATTTTGGAAATACATCTAAAATTATCTTGTGTGCAGTACTAAATTTTACAAAAATCATTCTTACAATCCATGAACAGCTCATATAATAAATACCTCATAAACTATAAAAGAAAAAAATGGTAAGAAACAAGAAAATTATAGGTCTAGCATGACTAAGAGGCAAGTAAAAACAACATTTGCATGGAGAGATTCTGAATCATAAGTCAGAAGATTTGAAAGTAATGAATTCAATACAAAGCAGAGTATATATTTACTTTCAGCATTTTTGAAGTTTTCAGTGGTCTAGTAAATTACTTTATTAAAATATTTGTTTTGTTCCAATATTGCTCTTTTCTTTTGAAAATAGGTACAAACTCACACTCACACAAAAACACTCCATAATTTTCTGGCACCTAAGGTTTAATTTTAGGGTAATATATGTGTATAGTTAACTCTATGTAAACCAATACTAAAATTCTGTTATGTTTGCAGGCAGAGAGACATGTTCAAAGAAAAATACATAACAAAATTTTTTAAATGTTTAGGCAGAACTCAGAATTTTAAGACTCGGGATTTTATTTATACTTGTATATAATTTTTATTATGCCCATGAAAATGACCCTATAGTCAATAGCAATTTACTTGTACATTTTAAAGTAACTAGAAGTATAGAATTGGTTTGTAATACAAATGATAAACGCTGGAGTTGATGGGTACTTCATTTGCCCTAATGTGATTAATATATATTTATATGCCTGTATCAAAATATGCCATATATGGCATAAATATATACACACACTATGTACCCATAAAATTTAAGAAAAATATGTTTAAATAAGAAAAAAGAATAAAAATTTAACCTATGGGAACAATGTTCTTTAATTAAGTTCTTTAGTTTAAAGTCACTGGCAAGAGGAATTATTAGAGATGTTAGTCCACTATGTTATTAAACAGTACAATGTCACTATCTTTTACCTACACCCTTGAGTAAGGTGGGATAGGTTAAAGTTAGTGGCATAATAACACTTCATTGAATGCATAATGGTCTTAACACGTTAAAAAAAAGTTTAATTAAAAAATTAACTTCACAATAATCTAAAATTTTTAAAAATGTGCTGCATTTTATTACATAGAAATACAATTAGTAAGTCGGGCGCGGTGGCTCACGCCTGTAATCCCAGCACTTTGGGAGGCCGAGGCGGGCGGATCACAAGGTCAGGAGATGGAGACCATGGTGAAACCCCGTCTCTACTAAAAATAGAAAAAAATTAGCCAGGCGCAGTGGCGGGCGCCTGTAGTCCCAGCTACTCGGGAGGCTGAGGCAGGAGAATGGCGTGAACCCGGGAGGTGGAGCTTGCAGTGAGCCGAGATTGCGCCACTGCACTCCAGCCTGGGCGACAGAGCAAGACTCCGTCTCAAAAAAAAAAAAAAAAAAAAAAGAAATACAATTAGTAAAATGATATACTACTAATTTTAATTTAATTTTAACTAAAACAAAAGATATTTTCACTAGAATGCAGAAGAATATTCCTCTGAACACCTCCCTCATACATCAATCAATATTATAAATTAAACACAAAGCGCCTGTCCACTTAGATTTTTATCATGCATCCTACATTGTAATGTCTTTACTCTTCCATAGGAAAGGTCAAAAATAATGCCCACCTAACAAAAAAGAATGTCTCATGTCCTTGATGAAGCAACAATTGATCACATGCTTTTACACGTGAATACAATAGGAATGAAGAGCATGAAGTAATTTGAGTTGAATTACATCACTCACTTTTTAAAAATTCTGTAATTTTTTCAAAGAAAAAAGTATACTTTAAATGTTATTATAACTAAAAATATTTCTAACTCTTTTAAAGTTATATACAAATAATTTATCTATCAACTTTAATTTTGGAGCATTTTCTGTACTCAGCACACTGATTAAGTGCAATGTCTGAAGTGTCAGTGCCTTAGATATTTCTACTGTGAATTCTCTGATATTTACACCCAGTTAATTTTGCATTAAATTTCTTTTATACTTACTGCATCTTCAAAAATATATTTTAGTATGAGTCCCCTGGTGTTTTCTAAGCAGTAGTTCTTGAAAAAATATTTTTACAAATATATTACATTTGCAGTTTTTCTCCAATATAAACTCCCTGATGTTAATCAAAATTTGATCACTGCTTCAGGATTTTCCTTTAGTACATAATGTGTACAACAAAATCTGTGATACAAGTAAAGACACTACAACCCTCTTTATGTTCCTAATGTTTGTCTTCAAACTGCTTATATCTCTTTAAAGGCTTATATTTGTCAGGCACAGCAACTCACACCTATAATCCCAGCAATTTGGGAGGCAGAGGCAGGTTGATCATTTGAGGTCAGGAGTTCAAGACCAGGGTGGCCCACATGGTGACAGTCAGTCTCTACTAAAAATAAAAACAATTAGCCAAACGTGGTGGTGTGCGCCTGTAGTCTCAGCTACTCTGGAGGCTAAGGCAGGAGAATTGCTTGAACCTGGGAGGCAGAGGTTGCAGTAAGCCAAGATCACATCACTGCATTCCAGCCTGGGTGACAGAGCAAGACTCCATCTAAAAAAGAAAGTTTTTGTTTTCTGAGTTTTTTACACTAACTGCATTTATAATGCTTTTATTAAGCAATAACTCTCTAATGTTGAGTAAGATGTAACCAGGTATTAATGGCTTTTCCACATTTATATTGGTACAATTTTTCTGAAGGGCTTTCCTGTGCAATAAGGTGTGAAAATTAATTAAAATTTTTACCACATTCTTCGCACTTCTGGGAGTTTTCTCCAGTATAAATTATCTTACTTATAATCAAGTGTGACAACCATTTAAAGACTTTGTAACATTCTTCACATTTTTAGGATTTCTCACCAGTATGATTGCTTTTATGGTTAGAAAAGTTTGAAGGTGTTTTCAAAATCATTGTCTCATCTTTTAGGTTTGTAAAGTTTCCAGTATTAATTTTCTTACGTTTAGTAAAGTTTGAGATTTAGTTAAAAGCATTGCCACATTGTTCACATTTGCAGGGTTTCTCTCAAGTATGAATTGTCTTACGTGGAGTAAGGGTTGAGGATAGGTTAGCTTTGCCACATTCTTCACATTTGTAGGGTTTCACTCCAGTATGATTTTTCTTATGTGCAGTAAGGTTTGAGGATAAGTTAAAAGCTTTGCCACGTTCTTCACATTTGTAGAGTTTCTCTCCAGTATGAATTATCTTATGTACAGCAAGGTGTGAGAACTGTTTAAAAGCTTTACCACATTCTTTACATTTGTATGGTTTCTCTCCAGTATGAATTACCTTATACTTAGTAAGAGTTGAGGACCGGTTAAAGGCCTTGCCACATTCTTCACATTTGTAGGATTTCTCTCCTGTATGAATTTTTTTATGTTCTGTAAGGTTTGAAGATCTGTTAAAAACTTTGCCACATTCTTCACATTTGTAGCATTTCTCTCCAGTGTGAATTATTTTATGTGTAGAAACGGTTGAAGACTGGTTAAAAGCTTTACCACATTTTTCACATTTGTAAGGTTTCTCTCCTGTATGAATTTTCTTATTTGTAGTAAGTTTTGAGGATTGACTGAAAGTTTTGCCACATTCTTCACATTTGTAAGGTTTCTCTCCTGTATGAATTCTTTTGTCTATAGTAAGAGTTGACACTTGGTTAAAAGCTTTGCCACATTCTTCACACTTGCAGGATTTCTCTCCAGTATGAACTTTCTTATGTGTAGTAAGGTTTACGTATAAGTTGAAAGCTTTGCCACATTCTTCACATTTATATGGTTTCTCTCCAGTATGAATTATTTTATGTGTAGTAAGGGTTGAGAACTGGTTAAAAGCTTTTCCACATTCTTCACATTTGTAAGGTTTCTCTCCAGTATGAATTTTCTTATGTTTAGTAAGGTTTGAAGATCGGTTAAAAGCTTTGCCACATTCTTCACATTTGTAGGATTTTTCTCCAGTATGAATTTTTTTATGTTCAGTAAGGTTTGATGATCCATTAAAAGCTTTGCCACATTCTTCACATTTGTAGGGTTTCTCTCCAGTATGAATTATCTTATGTGTAGTAAGGGTCGAAGATCGGGTAAAAGCTTTGTCACATTCATCACCTTTGTATAGCTTCTCTCCAGTATGAATCATCTTATATGTTTAGTAAAAGTTGAGAAATTATTAGAAGTTTTGCCACATTCTTCACACTTGTAAGGTTTCTCTCCAGTATGACTTTTCTTATGTTCAATGAGTTTTGAGGATCGGGTAAAAGCTTTGCCACATTCATCACATTTGTACTGTTTCTCTTCAGTATGAATTATCTTATGTGTAGTAAGTGTTGAAGATTGGTTAAAAGCTTTGCCACATTCTTCACACTTGTAGGGTTTCTCTCCAAGATGAATTTTTTTATGTGCAGTAAGGTTGGAGGACAGGTTAAAAGCTTTGCCAGATTCTTCACATTTGTAGGGTTTCTCTCCAGTATGAATTATCTTATGTCCAATAAGGGCTGAAGATCAGTTAAAGGCTTTGCCACATTCTTCACATTTGTAGGGTTTCTCTCCAGTATGAATTTTCTTATATGTACTAAGTTTTGAGGATAGGTGGAAAACTTTGCCAGATTCTCTACATTTGTAGGGATTCTCTCCAGTGTGGATTATCTTATGTGCACTAAGGGCTGAGGACTGGTTAAAGGCTTTGCCATATTCTCCACATTTGTAGGGTTTCTCTCCAGTATGAATTAGCTTATGTCTAGTAAGGTTTGAGAGTTGGTTAAAAGCTTTGCCACATTCTTCACATTTGTAGAATTTCTCTGCAGTATGAATTTTCTTATGTTCAGTAAGGTTTGAAGATCAGTTAAATGCTTTGCCACATTCCTCACATTTGTAGGGTTTCTCTCCGGTAGGAATTTTTTTATGGTAAGGTTTGAAGATTGTTTAAAAGCTTTGCCACATTCTTCACATTTGTAGGGCTTCTCTCCACTATGAATTCTCTTATGTGTAGTAAGGGTTGAGGACTGGTTAAAGGCTTTACCACATTCTTCACATATGTACAGTTTCTCTCCAGTATGAATGCACTTATGTTCAGTAAGTTTTGAGGATCAGTTAAAAGCTTTGCCGCATTCTTCACATTCATAAGGTTTCTCTCCCGTACGAATGATCTTATGTGTATTAAAGGTTGAGAACTGGTTAAAAACCTTGCCACATTCTTTACATTTGTATGGTTTCTCTCCAGTATGAATTAACTTATGTTCAGTAAGCTTTGAGGCTTGCTTAAAAGCTCTATCACATTTCTCACATTTGCAGGGTTTTCCCCCAGTATGAATCGTATTATGTGTAGTAAGAGTTGATGACTGGTTAAAGGCTCTGCCACATTCTTCACATTTGTAGGGTTTCTCTTCAGTATGAATTCTCTTATGTCTAACAAGGTGTGAGGTCTGGTTAAAGGCTTTGCCACATTCTTTACATTTGTAAGGTTTTTCTCTCATATGAATTCTCTTATGTTTATTAAGGGTTGAGGACCAGTTAAAGGCTCTTCCACATTCTTCATATTTGTAGAAATTCACTCTAATATGGATTCTTTTATGTTGAGTTAGGTGTGAAAGCATGCAAAATGTTTTGCCACATTCTTTACATTTAAAATGTTTATTTTCAGTATGCCTCATCTTGTGTCTATTTGAATTTGAAATTTTATGGAAAACTTTTACATATTTATCATTGAAATATTTTGTTCAAGGTAGTTTTCAAACATTGGTTAAGTCCACTATAATCTCCTTTGTGCTGCTTACACTCAACCACACTTTTACAGCCTTTTCTTAACTTTAAATTCTCATATCCACATTTTCTGTATCTTCTTAGGGTCACTTTTTGGAAAGAATCTCTTACATTCTGCTCTGGCCAAAGGTGTTGGGCAAAATAATAAAACATAACTGAAAGAAATAAAAATAACAAATTACTTCACTTGCTCAACTCAGATGAATATACTTTACAAATCTAACCCATAAAGTTACACAAACTACATAAGCAAGATGGCATAGCAAAATACCACAGGTTTGAATTCCTTCATAGGCACATAAATGTAACAAAAGCATATTGACCAAAATGCATTTGTGGAAAATTTATAAATGAGTTAAGTGTGTGTAGTGTTCCAGGTTAGCACAATGCCAAAAGCCACATCAAAGGAAAAGAAAAGTCTGTTACATTTACCCAACACAGTTCTTTCTGTTTCTAAATTACACATAGTGTCTTTAGAAGTAAATGACCAACTTTTGCTTTCTTTTTCAAAAGACAAGAAAAATAACACACCCACATCTTTATTTCTGGCTTTATTAGGAGCTTTTGCTGACACTGGTTTCTGTCTCCTACAACATAAAGTGCAAAAATTAACAGTGGTATACTTTGGAATGACATTTTGAGTCTACTGAGATCAAAGGTAAATGTTACAGCAGGAAAGAGACTATACTACAGACAGAGAACAGTTGTAGCAAGTGATGACTATTAAGAAGAAACATGAATAAAGTCTTTTAACTAAAAAACAACTAGAACATTTCAGACAAGACACATCCTAAGAACATATTTGAAAGACTCTCAGGATCTCTAGCTAAGACAAACGGTTTCAAACGTTGCCAGGACAAAGCTACATTATAGACACTGTGATAGGTAGCTTGTTTTCAATGTTCAAATTTCAATTAAAGATTACAATGTATACAAAATTTTAGGGCAACATAGCTCTATCAAATATAAAATTTTCAGAAAGCAACCATTAAAAAAAATTAATTTTAAAAAGTTAACATAAATTGAATAATACTCCATGAATGAAATAGGAACACAGACAACTATTAAAAATCAGAAAAATTGGGATAACAGAAATATTAAAAATATCAAAAAACAGAAATTGTGAAGGTAGAAAATACAAAAAAGGAACTGAAATATTATAAGAAAAAATGATGTAAAAATGAAAAAGCTTAACAAAGAAACTAGATACATGCAAAGATATTTACAATAAGAACATATATAAGCACAATTTTAAAAGTCACAGACAAGAGAATCTTGTGAGTTTCAAGATAAAAATGATGTGTTATTTATAAGAATAGTCTTATGAGGTAATGAGTGAATTTCTCAAGAAAATTTTGCAGGCCAGAAGGGAACTGTGTGACATTGTCAAAGTCCTGAAGAAAATAGCTGTAGCAAATACCAGCAGCAAATCTGTCCTGCCAAATAAAAAGAAAAAGCCAATCCAAAATAGCCAAATCCTGAAAACGTATACTGGCACTGCGTATGCCTTACATAGGCAACTATATTTCAAAACCATAGTAGTAAAAACAGAATGGAATACACAGAAAAATAAACAACAACAACAACAAATAACAATGGAACAGAAACCACTACTCACACATTTCAGACTTGATGCAAAAAGAATTTAAAAAACTGTTTAACGTAGAGTTTCTCAAAATTATGCACATTTGTGTATCCCCCAAAACAACAACAACAACAACAACAACAACAACAACAAAAACAGTCAGATTGTGCAGTCTTTTATATCCCATGAAGAGGACATTGGCTTTCACTGTGAAACTGAAGACAGATCACTAAAGGGAAAAAGGAATCCTTAGAGAACTGAAAAACAAGACAGAAAATGTCCTATGCGAGAGAAAAAAAAAAAACTCAGGTTTTCCAGAAACTATTTCCTTTGGAACACAGCTTACCAAATCACATTTTAAGCAGTGTCCTTCTCCTTGGCCTTTTGACCTCTTATCTGTACCATCTGTGTATTCACTCTCACTTACCTGAATGTTTAGCTACCATCTCAGGTCTCTTCATATCCCAGGGCTCTTTTTCTTGCTCCAGACAGCTAATCAGGTCTGGCTTACAGATAGCAATACCTGTTTTATTGAAAATAAATAACATAAATCTTGCACATATTATCCAATTACCAACCTAGTAGTGTGCTCAGTAAAGATAATGTAATAGAATATTCTAGTACATTAATCCCCAAATGCTAATTTATGACAAAAATTTCTAAAGATTTAGAAAATATTTTAAATTTGTAGTTTCTTAATTTCACTACCTGGTACTACTGAATCAAAACAATTGGTGTTGGGAGTTAGATTTTAAGGTATGGGCAAAAATATTTTATGCCAATAAATTTCAAAAATTACCACTAATCAAGACGGAATGATAAAGATCAGCTCAGGAATGCAGAAAGTTATGGTAAAGATGAAATATCTTGAAGAAACTATTTTCCACAATGACAAATCTAAAAGATTTTTTTTGAAAACAGAGATCCGAAACTCATTTATGCAAAGCATAAATCACCAAAAAACATTCTAGAAAAAAGAGAAATAAAACCTTTACGATATATTAGAAAATGTGTATTGAAGTTACCCTCACCCAAGAAAACCAGGTTTCTGTAGTTCTCTAACATCACATGCCTATATAAACTCTGCTGTGCACTGTCCAGGCACTCCCACTCCTCCAAAGAGAATTCTATGGCCACATCCATAAACGTCAATGGTCCCTGAAAAACACAAAAACACACACACACACAAAATCACATACATTTGCCAAGTGACCATGGGCGTAATTTTAAATTTCAAAGTAAAATAAGACAGTAAACTGGTTCTGACTTACAGGAGTGAATGAAATTATCCCTAAAATAATTCTTAACATACAAATATTTTCTACTGTATTATCTAACCCTGAGAAAAGAAAGTGGCATAAGAGCCACAACATCTGTGTGTATATATGGTACTTTTCCGGTTAATAGAGTATAAATTAGGGCATAAACACAAACATGTCTATTTTTAAATGCTATATCTGCATCATACAGAATGAGTTGTGTATATTTTTGAGATGAAAAAGACATGTTGAGTTAAAAGGCGCCTCACGGCCGGGCGCACTGGCTCAAGCCTGTAATCCCAGCACTTTGGGAGGCCGAGACGGGCGGATCACGAGGTCAGGAGATCGAGACCATCCTGGCTAACACGGTGAAACCCCGTCTCTACTAAAAAATAAACTAGCTGGGCGAGGTGGTGGGCGCCTGTAGTCCCAGCTACTCGGGAGGCTGAGGCAGGAGAATGGCCTAAACCTGGGAGGCGGAGCTTGCAGTGAGCTGAGATCAGGCCACTGCACTCCAGCCTGGGCAACAGGGCGAGACTCCGTCTCAAAAAAAAAAAAAAAAAAAAGGTACCTCACAAATTTTTTTTTTTTTTTTTTGAGACGGAGTCTCGCTCTGTCGCCCAGGCTGGAGTGCAGTGGCGCGATCTCGGCTCACTGCAAGCTCCGCCTCCCGGGTTCACGCCATTCTCCTGCCTCAGCCTCCCGAGTAGCTGGGACTACAGGCGCCCACAACCGCGCCCGGCTGATTTTTTGTATTTTTAGTAGAGACGGGGTTTCACCGTGGTCTCGATCTCCTGACCTTGTGATCCGCCCGCCTCGGCCTCCCAAAGTGCTGGGATTACAGGCGTGAGCCACCGCGCCCGGCTACCTCACAAATTTTAATGTGTACGATAAACTTGAGATCTTGTTAATGCAGATTATCTTTTCAGAAGATCTGGAATCGTTTGATATTCTAAATTTCTAACAAGTTCACCAGTAATGTCAATGTTTTTGGCCCACTTACTGTCAAACATCCAGTAAGTGGATGAGCCCATGTTTTTCCCAGTTTCTCTGGCCTGTAAAAAGGGATGACAGTTTTCATTTTCCTAAGGCAGATACATGCACAGAAAATCTAAGGCAGCTGCCAGATTAAATGTTATGGTTTATGCACATCAGCAGCATAAAGATACTTCATAATGAAGAGAAAAATAATTATAGTAAAGAAATCTGTCCAAGAGCTCTTTAACCAAGTGAATCATTAACATCAACTGCACTAGGACAAATTTTTGTAATGTGCTGATGCACACAGAAAAATGCAGCATCACTGCTGTGATACTGATCTCAAAAGTAAATTAGAGTTTGAATTTAACCACAAAAAAATTAGTTTTATGGGAACTTCAAGATACAGATAATTCGTATGTTCTGTAATTTTTAATAGTGATTTTAAGTAGTCTTTCTTTAGCACCCTAAAGAGCAGGTATCCATCTCCTAATAATTTGTTTCAGAACTTTCTGGGTAATAAATGCCATTCTGTTTGAAAGAACATTTTGTTAATCGTGTTCTGCATAGAGCTAATGGAGAACAGAGATGGAACCGCAACATTACATGTTCTCCTTCTTTACTAAAGACCCCAGCTTTTCCCCAATAGGAATCTTGAGTAGTCACACCTTCCCATGTTCAGCAGCCACAGAGGGAACATTTTTCATGTTGCAGATTATAAATTCATAATGAGATTTCTACATAGCATATAAAGAGCCATGACGTAGAGATGTAGAGAAGCCTCTGGTACGTAGAAAAAAACATTTTTCAGGGACCCTTGACTATCACAAGAATTTTTAAAAGTAGTTAAACTCATTAGGGAGAAACAACACAATTAGAGAAGTAAAGGTTTGCAAGAACTAAACGCATGGCATCCCAGGAGGCAGAGTGGACACAGCTCTCGATCTGAGACACGTTAAGCTAAAAAAAAAAAAAAAAAAGGCCATTTTTTCCTCTTTCTCCTCTTTCTCTGGGATTCCTTTTAAGATGAGATTCTATGGACAAATTACACCTGCATGTTGGGAATATGCTTTTAAAGGTGTCAGCACCACCTGTTTACTTGCTACCACCACACCCACAAGCAGAAGGATCAAGACCTGCAGAAAAAGTCCACCCATTTTTGTCCTTTATAACAGAAGAAATTCAGGAAAAATAATCTGCTCCATGGAAATAAAAATGTAAGTTTCCGATCAGGTATGGTGGCTCACGCCTATAATACCAGCACTTTGGGAGGCCGAGGCAGGCGGATCACGAGGTCAGGAGATCGAGACCATCCTGGCTAACATGGTGAAACCCCATCTCTAGTAAAAATACAAAAATTAGCTAGGTGTGGTGGCGGAGTCCCAGCTACTCTGGAGGCTGAGGCAGGAGAATGGCATGAAACCAGGAGGTGGAGCTTGCAGTGAGCAGAGATCACGCCACTGCACTCCAACCTGGGCAACAAAATGAGATTCTGTCTAAAAAAAAAAAAAAGTAAATTTCCCTGTTCCTGTCCTAATGTGCCCTCCACTGCCACAGACACCAGTAATTTCTGCTACGGTAATGGAAATATGGGCCACACTGCCCTCTTCCTACCAAATCCAAATAGGTACAGCCCTGTGACCACCCTTTATTGCAAAAGAAAACTTAACTCTCAGGCTGGGCACAGTGGTTTACAACTCTAATTCCAGCACTTTGGGAGGCAGAGGCAAGTGGATCACTTGAGGCCAGGAGTTCAAGACCAGCCTGGCCAACATGGTGAAACCCTATCTCTAACAACAACAAAAAATTAGCAGGGTGTTGTGGTAAATGCCTGCAGTCCCAGGTACTTCAAAGGCTGAGGCAGGAGAATCACTTGCACCTGGGAGGTGAAGGTTGAAGTGAGCAAAGATCATGCCACTGCACTCCAGCCTGGGTGACAGAGCAAGAGTGGGTCTCAAAAAACAAAACAAAACGCAACTCAATTCACATGAATGTATCTTGAACAACTCATACCTGATTCTGTCCTCACCTTGGAGTCACATGAGAAACTTAACTAAAACAACATGGATGCTTCCACCCAGAGTAATAAACATGTGGAAAGGGCACCAGTAAAGAAATTTCTGCAAATTGGTCATGTAATCCTAATTAGAAGCCTGGGCTAATAACCACTTAGCTAAGCATTGCCTTCCAAGCATTGAGCTTATAAATCACCTGGTGATTTTGGCCCCACTCTATGTAATGAGATTCTGCAGGTTTGGAAAGGGTTCATGAATGGGTGTTTCAAACAAGTCCCCTGTGAATGCTCCTCCTGGGCTCGTTATTAGCATTAGTTAGAGAAAACAGGCACAGCACAGTCCCTTACACTCAGCATTCTTGTCACGACACAAATACTTCTATGACAAATGAAGACAATCAACTTTCATATTCTTTGCTGGCTCTAAAGTTTACAGAACAAACAGAAGGCAGCCGTATCTGAATAAATCTGCATTTGAAAAACATTTTCACATGTACTAATGCAATGCTTATAAAGCAGGTACTGTGTGCTGAAGAGGATATTACAGAGCACTTTACTGGGAATTACACATGTGATTTAATCCTCACAACACCTTGGGAGCTGGTACTAAATGTTTAATAATTCTCAGGATTTACATTAAAAGTGCAGCATTTTTATTTGTTCTGTTTCTCTGTCACTGATTTTATTTAAAAATGTACAGAATAAAAGCTAAATACAGACAGAGGAGAAGGATACAGAAAGAAAAAGTTTAATGTAGCTTAAATAAATTTTTATTGTGTTTGTATTTATTTTTTTGTGACTTGTGGAGCAACTACTGCATCTGCAGGAATAGAAAACAGTTTGCTAAATGGAATATCTCTGCAAGCACTGGTTTTAATAAAAATTTAAAAATTAAGATTCATACATTTTTTTCTATTTATCTGCTTTTGGGTTTCAGAAAATTGTGTGCACTGGCTCTAGAAAGGCTGCAGGATTCACTATCCAATACTCTGATCTCTTCTAATCAGTTCTGTGAGACAAGGCTCCAGGGTGGGGCCAGACCTAAATAAGGCCTCCAAAAGGGGTGAATCTGAACAGGGCTGGAGCAGAGAGTGGACCCTATATAGAATTCTGCTCTCTATGCCCCTGGGGTATTTCCAGTTCTGTTTTTCCTAAGTTTACCTAAAAGAAAACTAAATCACACAGTTGTGAAATTTTAATCTTTTGTAGCCACTGCCCTGTTAATTTTATAACATATGCTAATAAGCAATTTAAACAAATCTCTTAGGGTTTTGTAGGGTAATTTTATTAGAAGATAAATATGTATTCTTAGCAAGGTATAAGAAATAAGAATAATAAAACAATGCTTTTGTCCGTAAACATCCACTCAAATGATGACATCAGAAGTTACAAAAATATAAAGAAAGTTGCCCAAATAAACCCCCCCTTTTTTTTTTTTTTGCACACATCTATTCATTGTGCTAACCATATGATGCTTAATTCAACCAAGTTGAATTCAGTTACTTGTCTAAATTAACAGTTTCTGGATGGTAGGGACAATAATGCTTCATCTATTTTTCTAATGGCCATATGAAATGGTAGCAATTAGTTTATCTGTTTGAGTCTCCAGACCTCTTCCTTGTTTTTCACTGACGTACCAGGAAACTGGAGAAACTCTCATCTGGGTACCAAGCAAAGACATCTCTTGTATGAAGGGAGGGACAAACACAGGATGACTCATTTCTCTTACACTGAGAGAAAAGCTGAATTAACTGTTTTTGTCAGCCTGACACAGTTCTGCTGTGGACATCCTCAAATGTCTGAGAGATGCCTAGGTGATTGTGAGAAGATTCCCAGTGACCCTGGGCTGATTGCTTAAGGATACGCTAAGCAGGGAAGACTCAGGCTGATTCTAAATAGAAAATGGAACTGCCCTGGTGGACCTCCAGAACCTGGATCACCTGTCTTGATTGGCAAGCTCTTGGGTAGGAAGGACAAGAATACTCCAGTATCCTATTTTACAGGTAGGTATAGTTGTGGTCATGGCTCTGGATACTTTGTGACCTTGATCTCTCACTCCTAAGATGCCTGTTTACACTTACAGATTCTGCCATCAGATTCTATTTACATCTGGAGCCTCTTACATTACTGTAGCAGGTCATTGAACAAGATCTGAAAAGTTCAAAGAGCCACGCTCTTAAAGGGGGGGCTTTAAGATGTCTATGTTGACATCTCACAATGCAGAAAATGCCTCCTGCTGGTTTCCTGTACATTCTCAATCCAAAGTCTGGCCCTGCTTTGTAAATATTAGGCAGAGGCCAGACCTTTTATGCAGATTCTAGGTCGAATCAACCTGGCTCTGCATTCTTGAGTGTTACAGCAAGCAGAGTACAACAAAAAAGAGATTCCCTCTTAGAGGCTGCTCTAGCACATTCTAAATGATATGTCTACCTAAAAGGAAATCACTGATGCAACATGAATAGTTCATTTGAACCAACCCAGAGGATTGTAACCTGAGGACTGTAACCTGGGAGCAAAAATTCAAGTTGCCTGGAATCTACACTTGGATGAGCAGCAGTTACAAGTGGATTTGTGAAGGCAAAATGAGAGGACAGAGAGTGGGCTCATACATATTGGTTTGTCAGAAATTCTTTTTATTCACAAAAATTAACATTGACTACTAATTGGATATACATTGTTAAGCTATAGGGTGTGAGTTATAGTGTCCAGCATGTCGTTATTAGTTTAATTTATACCTACTTGTGGCAATAGCAAGCAGTTTCAACAAGTAAATACACAGTTCAAAGAAGGGAGAAAGGCATAGCTGTGGTCTAATTTTAATGTCTCTTTGAGCCTTATAACTAAAATAATTTGCATTTCTCAAATAATGGTTTTTCCCCCCCCAAATCTCAAGACCGAGATTCAGAATTTGGAGCTGCAAATTTAGGTCCTGGATGGGTGGAGTAGCAACAGGTGTCATCTACACATTTGTGGGCATTTTAAAAAGAGGAGAAAGGGGAAAGTGGAAAGTCTCATGCCTACATGTCTAGTCAATGCATGAATGTTACTCTAACTGGGTTTCTGGGCCCCATGGTCTCTGAATCAGCTTAAGGTCTAAAGACACAAGAGTCACTGAAAGAGGTAAAATGGTTGATTGCTGTTCTGTGAAGTATTTACACATCCGGTCTAGCTTCTCTAGATGTGATTATACAGGACTAGATACCAAATAGGCAGAGGCACGATCTGCCTGCATATTCAGGGGACAGCATGCATTTTGCAGAACAATTTTGAGTTGACTGGAAACCTGAGATAGAAAGGCCCATCTAGATTAAAGCTTGGTTGGCACCTTATATGTTTATATCATGTGTGGTAACTTAAAACAGTGTTTGGAATATAAAATTAAAAGTTTTCTGCAGCCCCAGAGTAACTCCACAATGACACAACAGAAAGAAAACTGTTTCATTACACAATTAAACCAGAATGTGACATGCATCACAGTCAATCTGCTTAAGAGATTGCAAAGACATACTTGTATATTAATTGGTTATAATCAATGACAAAATAACTTTTCACATCTTTATGACAAGAGGTAATTTTGCAACTTGAAGCCAGGTGTCTGCTGAAGGTACGTTCTCCCTTTCCTACAGAAATGTTTGAATAGCGTTGAATATCTATTTTTTTTTAAATTTTTTTCTCCACTTAAATTTTATTTCTTGCAAATATTGTTCATGTTGAAGTGAACCTATACAAACACTTCTCTCCAATGTTCAAAACCATCTTGATTATTCTTTTTATTATTATTATTATACTATAAGTTCTAGGGTACATGTGCACAATGTGCAGGTTACATATGTATACATGTGCCATGTTGGTGTGCTGTACCCATTAACTCGTCATTTACATTAGGTGTATGTCCTAATGCTATCCCTCCCTCTTGTCCCCTCCCCACAATAGGCCCCGGTGTGTGATGTACCCCTTCCTGTGTCCAAATGATCTCATTGTTCAATTCCCACCTATGAGTGAGAACATGCGGTGTTTGGTTTTCTGTTCTTGCAATAGTTTGCTGAGAATGATGGTTTCCAGCTGCATCCATGTCCCTACAAAGGACACAAACTCATCCTTTTTTATAGCTGCGTAGTATTCCATGGTGTATATGTGCCACATTTTCTTAATCCAGTCTGTCACTGATGGACATCTGCGTTGACTCCAAGTCTTTGCTATTGTGAACAGTGCTGCAATAAACATACGTGTGCATGTGTCTTTAGAGCAGCATGATTTATAATCCTTTGGGTATATACCCAGTAATGGGATGGCTGGGTCAAATGGTATTTCTAGTTCTAGATCCTTGAGGAATCGCCACACTGTTTTCCACAATGGTTGAACTAGTTTACAGTCCCACCAACAGTGTAAAAGTGCTCCTATTTCTCCACATCCTCTCCAGCACCTGTTTCCTGATTTTTTAATCATTGCCATTCTAACTAGTGTGAGATGGTATCTCATTGAGGTTTTGATTTGCATTTCTCTGATGGTCAGTGATGATGAGCATTTTTTCATGTGTCTGTTGGCTGTATGAATGTCTTCTTTTAAGAAGTGTCTGTTCATATCCTTACCCACTTTTTGATGGAGTTGTTGTTTTATCGGGTAAATTTGTTTGAGTTCTTTGTAGGTTCTGGATATTAGCCCTTTGTCAGATGAGTAGATTGCAAAAATTTTCTCCCATTCTGTAGGTTGCCTGTTCACTCTGATGGTAGTTTCTTTTACTGTGCAGAAGCTCTTTAGTTTAATTAGATCCCATTTGTCAATTTTGGCTTTTGTTGCCATCGCTTTTGGTGTTTTAGTCATGAAGTCCTTGCCCATGCCTATGTCCTGAATGGTATTACCTAGATTTTCTTCTAGGGTTTTTATGGTTTTAGGTCTAACATTTAAGTCTCTAATCCATCTTGAATTAATTTTTGTATAAGGAGTAAGGAAAGGATCCAGTTTCAGCTTTCTACTTATGGCTAGCCAATTTTTCCAGCATCATTTATTAAATAGGAAATCCTTTCCCCATTTCTTGTTTTTGTCAGGTTTGTCAAAGATCAGATAGCTGTAGATGTGTGGTATTATTAATGAGGGCTCTGTTCTGTTCCATTGGTCTGTATCTCTGTTTTGGTACCAGTACCATGCTGTTTTGGTTACTGTAGCCTTGTAGTATAGTTTGAAGTCAGGTAGCATGATGCCTCCAGCTTGGTTCTTTTGGCTTAGGATTGTCTTGGCAATGTGGGGTCTTTTTTGGTTCCATATGAACCTTAAAGCAGTTTTTTCCAATTCTATAAAGAAAGTCATTGGTAGCTTAATGGGGATGGCATTGAATCTATAAATTACCTTGGGCAGTATGGCCATTTTCACGATATTGATTCTACCTATCCAAGAGCATGGTATGTTTTTCTATTTGTTTATGTCCTCTTTTATTTCACTGAGCAGTGGTTTGTAGTTCTCCTTGAAGAGGTCCTTTACATCCCTTGTAAGTTGGATTCCTAGGTATTTTATTCTCTTTGAAGCTATTGTGAATGGGAGTTCATTTATTATTTGACTCTCTGTTTGTCTGTTACTGGTGTATAAGAATGCTTGTGATTTTTGCACACTGATTTTGTATCCTGAGACTTTGCGGAAGTTGCTTATCAGCTTAAGGAGATTTTGGGCTGAGATGATGGGGTTTTCTAAATATACAACCACGTCATGTGCAAAGAGGGACAATTCGACTTCTTCTTGTCCTAACTGAATACCCTGTCTTTCTTTCTCTTGTGTGATTGCCCCAGCCAGAACTTCCAACACTATGTTGAATAGGAGTGGTGAGAGAGGGCATCCCCGTCTTGTCTCACTTTTCAAAGGGAATGCTTCCAGTTTTTGCCCATTCAGTATGATATTGCGTGTGGGTTTGTCATAAATAGCTCTTATTATTTTGAGATACGTTCCATCAATACCGAATTTATTGAGAGTTTTTAGTATGAAGGGCTGTTGAATTTTGTCAAAGGCCTTTTCTGCATCTATTGAGATAATTATGTGGTTTTGTCTTTGGTTCTGTTTATATGCTGGATTATGTTTATTGATTTGCGAATGTTGAACCAGCCTTGCATCCCAGGGATGAAGCCCACTTGATCATGGTGGATAAGCTTTTTGATGTGCTGCTGGATCCGGTTTGCCAGGATTTTATTGAGGATTTTTGCATCGACGTTCATGGGATATTGGTCTAAAATTCTCTTTTTTTGTTGTGTCTCTGCCAGGCTTTGGTATCAGGATGGTGTTGGCCTCATAAACTGAGTTAGGGAGGATTCCCTCTTTTTCTATTGATTGGAATAGTTTCAGAAGGAATAATACCAGCTCCTTCTTGTACCTCTGGTAGAATTCGGCTGTGAATCTGACTGGTCCTGGACTTTTTCTGGTTGGTAGGCTATTATTGCCTCAATTTCAGAGCCTGTTATTGGTCTACTCAGGGATTCAACTTTTTCCTGGTTTAGTCTTGGGAAAGTGTGAGGGTCCAGGAAATTATCCATATCTTCTAGGTTTTCTAGTTTATTTGCAGAGAGGTGTTTATAGTATTCTCTGATGGTAGTTTGTATTTCTGTAGGGTCAGTGGTGATATCCCCTTTATCATGTTTTATTGTGTCTACTTGATTCTTCTCTTTTTTCTTTTCTTTTTTTTTTTTTTTTTTTGAGACAGAGTCTCGCTTTGTCACCTAGGCTGGAGTACAGTGGCTCGATCTCGGCTCACTGCAAGCTCCACCTCCCAGGTTCAGGCCATTCTCCTGCCTCAGCCTCCCAAGTAGCTGGGACTACAGGCGCCCACCACCACACCCGGCTAATTTTTTGTATTTTAAGTAGAGACGGGGTTTCACCGTGTTAGCCAGGATGGTCTCGATCTCCTGACCTTGTGATCCACCCACCTCGGCCTCCCAAAGTGCTGGGATTACAGGCGTGAGCCACCGCGCCTGGCTCTTTTTTCTTATTAGTCTTGCTAGCGGTCTATCAATTTTGTTGATCTTTT